GGTTGCGCTAGCTTGGTACTTTTAGTGTTTGAGGGTCGTGTGCGAGCGCTATGAGCGTGGTTCTGTGTAGAGCTCCAGGTGTATGCTTGACGTTTGTGATTCCATGGAACGGTTCCGAGAATCCTAGATGTGCCTTTGTTTCGAGCGTACATGATTGCTTTGGTTGGTGTGAAGAGCACGTTTCCATGGTGGATCGTGATGTCATGGACGGATAGTAGGTTGGATTGGATCTTCGGCGTAACGAGGGCTGGTATGCGTATTTTGTTGTTCATATTCGTCTTGATTGATGTCTGACCACGGTATGTACAGTGGGTGCTGTCTTTAGTTGCTGTGTAAGTTTTGGCGTGATAGGAGTTCGCGTAGGGGATATGTTTGGTGTGGGAGACATGTGACGGATGAGCTCCAGAGTCGAGTGTATACGTACATGGCGGGGGTTGATGGTCTTGAGCTGATGTGATGGGGTGTTCATGCGTTTCCTCGGTAATGTGCGGGACTTCTGGGACTAATGCACGAGCTTGCGTGTATTGTTTCTTGGTTGTTTTTCGTTGGTGACGAGGGTGTTGAGGGTGTCGACATTCGTAGTCCCTGTGGGCCGGATGAGGTATGCCTCTGCTTTGATGAAACCTGCACGGGTTCGAGATACGACGTGGCACTCGACGAAGAGAAGGGGCTGTTCTCCATGTGTCTTGGTTCTTGCTTGTAGTAGTGATGGGTGAATATTCTTGTGTCGTACTGGTGGGTTTTTGGAAGGAGGTGTAAGAAGTTATGCGGTTGAATTTGTGTACAAAATCCTTGACATCGTGGGGATCGAGTGAGATGAGTTGTACACCTACTGTAGATGTGACTGGATTGAAGCGTAGTCCGTCAATGAGAAATTCTACAGTTGTTCTTGGGTCTCATGTAGAGGGGTAGCGTGCCGCTATCATCTTGGCTCTGATTGTTTCATGGGCTGTGATGTATTCAGAGAGTGTCATGTCGGGTAGAAATACGGTTTGTTCCGCAAGTTGCTTGAGGTACCTGTGATCGGAAGTGTTCGTGGTATTAAGATGTGCAGTAATTGCTGTGATGAGTTCGTCGGGTGTAGGATCGCTGGTCGGTGTGATGATTAAGTTGGCAATTTCGGGTGGGATAGATGATATGATTTTGCCGATGAGATAGTGTTTGTTGCGCTGAAAGTCTGTCTGTTGGTTTGGATCTTGGGGTACTTCAGGATTGCCGGTGATGTGGTTGATGCAGTCGATGGTGTGAGCTGCGGCGCGAATTGCTACGATCCATGGGCCGTAGTTGGCTGTGTCGAGTTTGGGAACGTCTGAGCGTTTATCCATGTTGCTGAGGGCTGGCTGGAGCCGGGGAGGTGGGAAGTATGTCAGTGGTGCGATGAGATGTGAGGGAGTAGGGAGGAGCCTCCGATGGCGGAGGGATTGGGTGTGTGACGTCGTGTTGGATTTGCGATGGGAAGTGGTTAGCGAGTGTTGCCCATAACCTGTGTGAACACGAGACCGATATCCTTTATTTACTCGTCGTCGCTCTGTGTGCCTACTTATATGCACACACTTAGGACAGTCTGTCCTGTGCGGTCTGACAGGTTGCTCATAAGTGTTGATGGGATGACTCAATCCTCTTGCACGTAAACTGACTTTCCCTTCACTTCTTGCCCTGCACGTTTCATCCTCAGCAAGATTACAAACCTTCTCCTGATACCCTGCACCGTGCACCGTATGTTGCAGTATTGACGCCTAGAGTCGGCCTCGGCATCGCTTCTCCGACTTTCTTGCACAAAGTTGTACAGTAAACATTTACATCTACAGAGTAAAGTCTCCATAGAGTGAACCAAAATGTGGCACATATTGGAAGCCCAATAGTTCACTGGACTGAGTCTGTTCACAGCAGCGATCAAGATACGGCTGGCATTGCAGTAGCGTTCATAGATAGGGCTGGCATTACACATGCCGGAGCGCAGGACGGCGACTGTTCGGGACTCAGGAGTGCCAAGCTCCCACATGACGACTACTCGATCCCACGGATAGCGTCCAAGACGCTGTTCATCGAGCCGCATCTGCGGCTCTAGAAGCCGCTCAGAATGCTTCTGAAGCAGCTCGAAAAGCAGCTGCAGTGACTGCGACACCGGCTACGAAAAAAGAAAGCAAGTCAGCTTGCAAGATCGCAAAAACGCGATTACAACGCTCGGCTTCGCGGCTGATGGAACACGATGATCAGCACTAATTAATCCTTCCACCACGCAACCTTGGACAGAAACGAACCTGGCAATCATATCGGATTCTCAAAAAGTGCTATTACAGCATGGATCACATGCAAAAAAACATTCTTGCCTCGGATTGCCGAGGCGCAGTACTTCTCAAGCGATAACGGCTCAAGCCTGGATCGAACCCTGAGCTTGAAAAGGCGATCACGTCGTACATGAACGATGTCATACAGTACCTACGACACGAATCACCTTTTCGTGAAAGCGTTGTTCCAGAAAGAGCGCTCGGCATTCGAGACGGAATGATTTCGAGTCTAACAGAAAGAGCTACACTCGCGAATGATGCCAATGTCCAGAAGTTGCTTGATGAGGAGCCAAAACTGCAGTCATTCGTATCCAGCCATGTTTTGTATCGGCGTTTTATGGTTAGAAATAGATTTGCAAGCAGAAAAGGCGCCGGAAGCGCAAAACATTTTGACAAAGATCTTGTTGATAACGCGCGACACGAAATGAGAAAAGATGTTACTCATTTCCCTCTATCTTGTATTATGAATACAGAAGATTCTTCTGTGTTCATAATACCGCTTCTGAAGTGGCAGTTCTCTACAGAGCTTTGCCAACTCGATCCATTTCCCAGGATGGCACTGCGTATGAGCACATAAAAGACAGGCTGACAGCAGTGCTCACAGTCTTCGCAGACGGATCAAAATCCCCATTGACTATTATTGTATAGGGAAGTCAAGACGACCTAGGAGCTTTCCAAGGCATTTTGATGGCCTCCGAGATCTCAATATTTACTACATGGCACAAAAGAATTCTTGGAACACAAAGAACATTTGGACCCCAATTGTAGGTGGGTTTGACAAGTTTGCGCGCCTCGAAGGGAAGTCATTCATTAATGTTGTGGACAACCATTCTGCTCACAACATTTCTTACAAAGAATTTACCAACTTTAAGTGCTCCTTCCTTCTTCCCAAGTTAACATCACATCTTCAACCCGTCGATGCTGCCGTGGGACGCTCTTTTTAAGTGCCATTTTCGACGTTTGCTATTGCATCATATTCTCAATTCAATTAAGGCCCAAATAGACCAGCCACCTTCGCAACGCGAGCCATTCAAGATTTGTAAGACTGTTACCGTGTATGATGGAGTCAAATTGATGACCAAAGCTCGGGATCTAGTACCTGACAGCGTCATTCACAGTAGACTGCTAACTGGTTACGTGGTTATTCTTAAGAGAAGAAATTGTCAAGCTGCGTACGGATCGTCAAGAAACTGTCAGAGCTGCTATACGGGCGCCAGCGCAATTGGCACCCCGTCTCGTTCAAGAAGTGTGTAGGAAAGCGGAAAGTGCATACTGCCGTGGCCAGTTGTACGTGTATGCAGATGAAGGCGTGCTAAATGAGGGGAACGAAATTGAGACGATATACGGGGAAGAACAGGGGGAATATTTTATAGAATTGCTTTCTAGGGACATCGTGGAGTTAAGGGAAGCTGGAGTTGTTGGGGACGTTGGCGTTGCTGCGCTACAGAATATGATGGAGAAGGAGAGTGCTCTTCCAGTCTCTGAAATTATTACAGAGGGTAGTGCTCTGGCCCAAGGTGTAGATGTGGGATTGGAGCAATTTGAGCCTTTCAGAGACGTGGCTGATGAGGCTGGTGGTGACGGGACGGACGAGGACGACTCAGAAACTATTCCCACTGTAGAGCAGGCTGTGAGGAAGCCATCACTCAGCCGTTACAGTGGGGCACTTCAAGCGTTGTCGGAGGAACTTCAGTCTGTCATGACAGATCCACAGCTGTTTCGGTCAGAGCTTCCATGTAATTTAAAGGCGCTGCTCCTCGAAGAATTGCGCCGTGTGTGAAAAATGCAGCGTCAAACTCTAAGGCAAAGTCGCATCGATACTTTTTGTAAACGTTGATATCCCGTTTTTTTGGGCCTGATTCAAGTCTCGATAATGTGAATTGTGGCATTTAGGACAGTTGGAATGTACGTTGTAACGGAGAGTTCTCTTTACTCAGGCCAGTTCACTATAGGCCTGACAAAATGGGGAATCTGGGCTAATTATGGAGGGTGGCGCTTTGCTGGTGACTTGCAGTTCATTTTACAGAGTCTGTTCAGTTTGTCGAGGCGCCACTATATCGAGACTTTACTCTGTAGAACCTCCCATCTTCTGGGCATCTTTAAGATCTCGAATGTTTCAAAAGTGCGCAATACAGTATAGCCGTCCTTGCGACGTCTGTTTAGATGGATTTGACCTCCTACAGTATGAGATCAAATAACCGGTATGAGGCTACCATTTAACTTGTTATTTCTGGACTTGTGCTTACTCGATACGAGAAAGAAAGATACCCCTACAACCGTCTTGAACTCTGCTATGCGGAAGGGTAGACTTTATTGAAAACTGCATGCCCTTTCCCGTTGTTTTTCGAAATGTCTGGCATCCTGGCATGGGAGCCTTTCTGAGCAACCTTGAAACGTTGCGTTTTGATATCTTCAAAACCAAAACGACTGTTTAAAAAATCAACAGGAGACTTCCTGTGCAGGGAACTGTATTATATTCGTAGTCTTTCAGTGAATTCGAGACTGCTATCCCGATGTTCTGCAAGATGGTATCGCTGAGGGCAAGGAAGTCAAAGAAATGGTGCCCAACATGCATTCCTAAATTCGCGGTTTATTCTTGCTCTTTTTGGAAATATATATTGTATATATATTTCCAAAAAGAGCTGGCCTCATACATATGAGGCAAATCGCTTACCGCCGAGCCCCTAGTCTAGGTCCACGTGTAGTCGTAACATGTGTACACGCGTGAAATGCTTCCCAAATTTCTACGCCTTCGTAGTCGACCGGGATCAACTTTCTCGTCGCCGTCGCCGCAGCACAAGCCACCGTACTTTTCTTTTTCACGAAATCTTCATCATGGGCGGCAAGCGCCGCAACTCCAGTCAAGGAAACATCCGAAAGCGCCCCCGCACAGCCCGCAAGCAAACCCTCGTCCGTGTCGCAGAGCACAAACAAGCCACCGCCGAGAAGCTCCACCGCCGCCTCGAGCATGCAGAGGCGCGCAATCTGCACCGCACCCGCGCGGCATTGGGAATAAAGAGCAGAGAAGTCGTCGCACGCGGTGAGAAAAAGGTTGATTTTGAAGAGGACGACGAGGAAGGCGGGTGGAGAGGGAGGTACTTGGAGAGATGCGCGAGAGGATACGTTGCCCTCGTCGACGACCTCGCCCATCCGCTCTTTGCGGAAACGCGCTTGGATATGCAGGTGAATGGCGTGCGGCCGGGCGCGTTGAAGCAGCACCATGCGAAGCGTGCGGAGGAGGTGCGCCCTTCAACCTCCAGCTCACCGCCCGTCGACGAACGAGCCGTGGCGGAGGCCGAAAGCGCGCCGACCTTGTCGCTCGAGCAGGAGAACCTCGCCGCCGCCGCACGCGAAAACTCCCACTTTGGGCACGAGGCTCCACTACCTGAACTTAGCGCCGGCGAAAAGCTCACACCGATCGGACTCTTCCCCCTCGTCGGTCGCGTGTCCGCCGTGGCGGCCCCCGCGCGCCGCGCCGCACTGCAGACGCTTCTCACGACGGGGCTTGCCGCCGTTTCCGAGCGCGCGTTGGGGATGCAGCCCTCGGTCCATGCGAAGTGGGACGCGGCTGGGATGGGAGGAGCTCGTCTGCAGGAGTTTGAGCGCGCGTTTGTGGCCTCCATACGAGAGTACATGGATGTGTTTTTGTGTCGACGACTTGACAATCGGCAAGAGGACGTCGTACGGAAGCTCTATGTCGCGCATTGTGTGACGCATGTTCTAAGGGCAAGGGCTAGGGTCTTCCGGAATGACGCCGCCGTGAAGAAGGAGCCCGAGGCGATCGATCGTGCCAAGGATCAGGGTTTTAGTCGCGCAAGGGTGCTCATACTGCTGCCGATGAAGAATGTCGCGTATGAGGTAGTGAAGACGATTGTGGCGCTCGCGGTGGAACCGGGGCCGAATGTGCAGAACCGCGAGCGATTCGAAGCGGAGTTTGCACCGGAGGATGAGGAGGAAGGAGATAATCTGGATGTGGGGAGAGGATTAGCGAAGAGAAGAAGGAAACCGGCTGATCATCGCCGACTCTTTAGGGGGAATACCGAAGATGACTTTAAGCTTGGTATTTCCTTTTCCAAAAAGTCCATCAAGCTGTACGCAGACTTCAATGCTAGCGATGTTATCATCGCGTCACCGTTGGGACTGAGGAGGGGCATTGCTGAAAAGGCGAGCGGGAAGACGGCCCACGACCGGCTCTCGAAGAAGAAGGAAGAGAACGAAGATGCGGAATGGAAGACAGGGATTGGGGCGGCGCGTCAGGAACCAAAGCAGGATGACGCAGATGAGGGTTTTCTCAGTTCTGTCGAGATATGCGTCGTCGATGGAGCGGATGTGCTTTCAATGCAGAACTGGGACACCCTACGTAAAGCCGTCGACATGGTCAACAAAATGCCATCGAATACGAGGGATACAGACTTTTCACGTGTGCGAGCGTGGTGTCTAGATGGGCTGATGCAGCAGTTTCGGCAAACCATCATGCTTTCGCGGTACCGCAAGTCAGAGTTTGTTTCGTTGATGCGTGGCTGTTGCAACCACGCTGGAAGAGTGCAGCTAATTGAACCTCCCGAAGTGCTTGGTTCTATGGTCAACGTGATCGTGAGCATGCGCCAAACGTTTTTCAAGGTACCAAACGTTGATTCGCCGGCTTTTCGGGCGGACAAACGGTTTTCGTTCTTCTGTGCCAACACTTTGCCCGTAGTGCGGTGTCTGCTGGATGCGCAGGTTTTGCTCGTAATACCAGATTATTTCGACTATGTCCGCGTACGCAACAAGCTGGTCGAAATCGCAGACGAGGACGAGAACTTTCGCTTTGCGAGCATGTGCGAATACTCCAAAGGGTCGGACATATCTCGAGCGCGCGGCAAGCTGCACGATCGAAGCGCTGGGCTCGTGGTCATGACGGAGCGATTCCACTTTTTTTGGCGGCACTGGCTGCGCGGGGCGGACACCGTCGTGTGGTATGGCCTCCCGGAAAATGAGCACTACTACCCTGAGATCCTCAACATGACAGGGGAGGCAGCCGACAGCGGTAGGCAAGTGCAGACTTTTACCCTCTACGATGAATTTGATATGTTCAAGCTGGAGAGAGTTGTTGGAAGGAGGCGTTGTAAGAAAATGATGGCCAAAGACTCCAAGTCGACATTTTTGTTTGTATAAAGTTGCATTTCTAGAAGAAAGGGTACGTCCGTGTAAAGGGACGAGAGCAAAGACGTGCCGTTTGACAAAGTCTCGGTTGACTTCGCAATTATGAAGGGCACTTTGCGTTTTCTGTGGAAGATGGCACTTTTTTTTTCGCACGAGCGTGGTCGCGGTGATGCGCATGTTGAGATTCTGTAACACACAGATGCCACTGCTGATCCTACATCATCCCTGTTCCTAGTGTGAGGGTCACAATTTGCCGCAGATGAGGTCAAATGGGGTCGCGTGAGGCTACGTTTCACTTAATCTTTCTGGACTTATTCTTACTCGATAAAAAGAAGGGCAATTCAAGCCAGCAGACTTGAGTTCCACGCTACGCAAGATAAATCGAAGCGGGAACTGACTGTCCTTTCGGATAATTGTTATTCAGGCCTGGCGAGGAAACATTTTCTGAGCAACCTGTAGACCCTTCTTGATTCACCTCATCGAAACCCCAATCTTTGTGTAAAATCGTGCCCAAGGAACGAACGGTGTCACTTCATGACCCTCTAGATGACAGCAGTACATGTAGCAAGACCATTGGAGCAGCACAGATGGGCGAACATTGCAGTCATTTTTTTGCCCGAAACGCTCTCTGAATTGAACCCCGGCAAGCCCTTTTGAGTAACATTACGGGTTTCCCCATATGTCCCCGCTGTCACGGTGCGCATGTCTCCTCAGCCGACAACTGCAATTTTTGCACTGCACTGAACCCCGCCAAACCCTTTTGAGTAACATTACGGTTTTCCCCATATGTCCCCGCTGTCACGGTGCGTATGTCTCCTCAGCCGGTAGACAAAGTAATGTAAATTACGCGTCCCCTGTCTCAAAATCAACGCTCACAGTATGAAACATAGGGGTGCACGCAGCAAGGGTCGGGCTGACCAGTGAAGTGGCAGAGATGAGCTCCATGAGCTCCATGTCGTTTCCAAAAATGTACGCCGGCATTTCCCATGACACGGCGTGCTTCGCCCAAATTCAAAGATTTGAGCAGTTGCGACAACTCTACTCAAGTCCTGTGAGTGCTCAAAAGCGTCATAGTGAGGTATGTTGACTGCGCAAAAGTTGTCATACACCCTGCGTACCCTGCCTTACTAATATTTCTCAAAAGCTGCTGATCTGCACCTAACGGTACACCTATAGCTCTGGCCCGCAGGCAACCATGTGTCACATCTCAACTAAATACGAGCTCAGGTGCGTTGGCTTGTGATGCTTCATCCAACTCTGATGCCTCTTCTGCGTGCATCTCCCCAGCACCGATGACGCATCTTCAGCGCCATTCTGACTACGGTCGCAAAGCCGTTCATGACCGTGCCATGGACACCCTTCTCTCTGAACTCTCAACAAGCCACGGCAGGACGCTTTCGTTTATTGCAACCATTCAAGAAATCGCCCGCCGAAACGGAGAGTCTGTCTCTCACAAAGACCTTCTCCATCTGCAACTTGACTTCAACGCTCTCCCTCCCGACCCTTCGGACTTTCTCCATGCTTTGCTCCTCATCGCCCAAACAGCACCAAACAGCGCTGCTGCTTGTCTCGACACGTCTAGCATCCTTGGTGTTGAGTACAATTGTGCTACTGGGGGGGTCAAAGAGACTGACAGACCCTATGAGGCAGCCTTCTTCATCGACCGCTTCCATTCGCGTATAAGAGAGTTGCAGAGTCGTGAGGAGACTCCTTTTGCCGTCTTGCGTGCCCTCTCTCCAGGGCCCCAGAATTTCGACAGAAATCAGTTTGTATCTCGCTATGAGATCTTTTATGGGCCCCAAGAAAACGATGGACGTATCCAATCTCCTAGCATTCCCGACCAGGTCGTCGAAAGGGGCATTCTGTTGTGTTTTGTTCTTGCAGAGAAACGCGGTATGACTGTACAACAGCAACATCTTAGGGATCAGTGGGTGCGTAAGCTGTCAGACGAGATTACAGGTCAGACTGTCAACTCGGTTCTTGATGAGTACCGTCATGCTGCTTCCACTATGAGTGCCGCAGAAAAGGTCAATGCGCTCATGTGCACCCTAGCCGGGCGCAATTTCATCGTCGAGCGGCCTGATGGGGCGATTGCGTGCTACTATTGGGATCCCGAATCTTTAAAGAAGGTTCGTCACCAGATGAAAAAGTTATCTCAAGACGTCAACGGACCAAAGTTATATGGCTCCTATTGGCGCATCGGCTTGGCATGGACACTTGTCGTCAGTGGCTCACTGCTAGCGATTTTGTCAGGGGTATTGAACTGGGCGAAGCGTGAGAACAAATTCGAGAGGGTCAACGACGTGTTCTCAACGTTTCTCCTTGTGCTTTCGCTGCCAGCCTTCACGGTGAAGATTGCGGCGACGAATGGCGATCAGGCTATTAAGGACTGGTTGACAGGCGTCATGAGAGTAAAGAACGTAGAGCATCTGGAGACACACATTGCACGGCGTTTAAAGGGCAACAAGCGAAGGGGTTGGGTGGCGATACAGCGTGTCAAGTGTGAAACGGATGATCGGCAGAACTGGACCGCCAAAGACAACATGTGTTTCAAGACAGAGCATATGGATGGTTCATTGCGTGCAGAGAAAGACCGCAACATGAGTGAACTGGAAGTCGTCATCGGGACCGACGGGAAGCGGGCAAGATCGTGGATCCAGATCAGCAACGAGACCAACATAATAGGGAGTGATGTGAACCATCTCCAGTTCACATGCGGGACGACAAACCCGATTCGCACCCCTGCTTTCTTCAGCCATACGCCTTCACCGCGTGTCTGGTTTGCCTGAGCGCTATTGTGATCACAAAATGATTTGCAAGCTTTTTGAATCCACTGCTGGCAACTCTTCATCGCCCGTCACACACAGTAGCTTGTTAAGCTGCACTTCGCCATTCTGTATAAAGCGCAACATTTCCTGCAGCAGCGGCACCGCAAGTTTGTTCTCGCTGTGCGGATGGATACCGTGCCCCAATCCTGTGTGTTTCGGATACACAAACAATTTGGTTTGCTCATTTCCCAGTTCTCTCTGGCAGTACTCGGTCACGCCCTTGGGGTCACAATACTCATCCAACTCGGCTGTTGCGCAAAACGTGGTAACATTTCTCCGGATCGGGGCGACGATTTCTGCGCGATGCACCATCCTTGCAGCCACGGAAGTTGCAGCGAAGTGGCGGGCGCTGATCGTGGAAATCGGAAATGGTAAAGTAAAAAGTTCCAGAGCACCCAGTGCTGCCAAATCAATGCCTGTGGGCTGCGAGCGAAGGCCTACAAACGGAGCTAGCAACACGAGCTTGTGTATGAACTTTGCGCGTGCCACGAGATTGATGGCTTGCACGGCACCCAGCGAATAGCCGACAACACTGATGGGACCTGGAAGGGGTGCGACATCGGCGACTCGTTCGAAGGGGTGCGATTCGTAGCGCGAATAGTCAGACTCGCAATAGCGGGCTATCTCCGATTCCAGGCCGGGTCTGTAGGTATTACCACTTAGTGCGTACAGAGCACAGATGACGGTTTCAAAATCTGCGGAGCTCAGCTGATCTCGGAGTCTTGCTTTGATTCTCGCAATGATTTGCGCGTACTCTTCGGCGTGTGGAGGTTCCATGGCCGCGGCGGTGGTAATACGTTGGAAATAGTCGGCCAGGACATGATCACTCAAGATGACTTCTCTGGCCTTGTCACCGATCTCCGGCTTCAGGAGGGTGTACGGGAGACGGTGGGCGGCAAAGGCGTGGCCCGCGCCGGGCGGTGTGTACACGTTGAAGCCCGCGTTGTGGAAGTAGGTCATGGTCGGGCGCATGATCTCGGGGGTGGAAGCGAGGCCGTGGAAGAGCACGACGGTGCCGTGCACAGCGGTGCGCGGCGGGTGAAAGGCGTAGAGCGCGTGGGCGCGAGGGCGAGCATCCGTGGACTGGGTGGTGGACGAGATGTAGGACTGGACGAGATGTACGGCACGGGCATGTTGGGATGGGGTGGCGCTGAAGGCGGGAAGGTGCTTCATGTCGGTGGCGACGGCACGGTAGCGGTGATGCGAACGGGGCTTCGACGGCGATCTGGTCGCGGGAAGCTGAGGGGTCTGGCAGGTTCGGAGGGCTCGAGGAGGGTTGGATGTTGTGGTCCCATTTTCGGAGTTAAGCTTGGAAATGATCGGGCGGGAAGGTCCAGCGGAAAAATCTTTTGCCTACTCTGGATTGTTTGTGTGCTCCTCGAATCGTCTCCTTGGCGTTAAAAAGGGAGCGTGGTCGAGGAGGGCGGGATGTTAAAATGTAATTATTTTAAACTCTATGGAGCTGATAAATTTATCGTTGTTCATTCCACCATCAAGTCACTTTTTCGAGGCTCTGAGGGCTGGGGGTTTTTTATCACACGCACTCCGGATGGCAAATTGTGTTGTCCCAAAGACGAAAAGTGCGGAGGCGGAATAGGAAAAAAGTTTTGATGGTGCGGATTATTCCTTCACTCGGGCGATAAACCATGCTGACATGAGACACGGGAGATAAATAGATATGTGGCCCATTGCACCTTGTGATACGACTCTTAGACAAGGTTTTTTTTGGTACCCTTCCGATCGCAATGACAAAAGAACGCATAGAAATCACTCACTACTCGAAAACGGGGTAAACTTTACAGCGTATTTGTCGCACATGCGCCCTGCTGACCTTCTCAAAGACCTTTGACACCACGAACAAGGCAATTTCCTCGTACAGTACAATCATCATCGTTCGTTATGGCATACGTCACCGGTACAAGTCAAGAAATATCAACTTAGCTACAATAATGCTCTTAAACTGGTTAGATCATGAAATTTGTAATAACTGGATAGATCATGAAATCTGTTTCCGGCGTGGCAGGAACGGGACATCCTCCAACGGGAGCCCCGTTGGACTGTGTCCCACAAGTGTACCGCACAAGTTATTTCTGCCACAAAGAGTTTTGCACCCCCCGTGGTCCCGGCAGAACACGCATGTGAAGATGGCGGCCAGTCAAATTTGTTCAACCATTCTTAATTTAGAATTCATTTTTTAAATCTTCAAAAAAAGTCTAGACTTCCACTCTCATGCGGGAGCAGCAAGGGGGGTGTGACGAAGTAAGCCTCGTGCCTCCGCCCGTCCCGCGCCAGCGGGCCGAGCGACGGCGAGCTTTTATTCTGTTCTGGTGGTGCTACCTACGGCAATTGGTGTGGCCTGGCCTGTGGCCTGGCTTGTGGGTCATCACAGGGGGTTCGCGGTACAGTGGCCTTTTAGAATCTGCAGCTTCCATACGGAAGCCGGTTGTTTCACACGATTTTATCATTATCGAAGCCTCGATTCCCCAAACATGAGTGCCTGTGGTGTGCTTTGATAGCACATGCCAAGACGGGCACGCCTCTCTGCTGCCCCGACTTACTGGCGAAGCGGCCGGGAAAGGCAGTGCTGTTTTTACAGACTTGTATCACAGTGATGAAAAACGCCGACATATATACAGTACAGCAGTCCCAAGTCTTTGCCTCGCGAGCTCCTGGGAATATATGACATTACGTGTGCATGTACACTGTACTATCTCTTTGCGATATATAGCCTTGACATGTCTGTCGTACCGCAGGTGCTTCCTTGCACTAATGATCTTCTCGGTCAAGGAAAAATGATACATGAATTTTGGTCTGTTTATTAGTGACTGCGTGCAAGCTGTTCTGGGACCAAGGCGTTGTGAACAAGGAATGAGCAGAGCGTCTCTTCCATAGAAGAAAGTTTCTTCAAGAAACGGATTATGCCTCAGAGAACCGTCACGGGTTTCGACACAAGTGTTGTAGAGTTCAGAGTAGACATGAAAATGTCGCAAGTGGGGCATGTAAGGGTAGGGCGGTAATTCATTGAAACAAATAATCGAATGAAGAGCTACCCTTGGTAGAGAGATGCACTTCGATGCAAAGAGATGAAGTCTACTTTCTCGGTAATTCATGAAGACATTTGATTCTGAGGGATCTCAGTTTTATGCCAAAGTATGACAAAATGTACACGTGTGCCTTTGTACACGTCAGCATGTCAAGTTCTTACAACTTGCAACCTCCAACTGGTGCAATACAGCACCGGGTCCCGGTGAGTTATATATATGTCCAAGGTATCCGTTCCCTTCTCCCTCCGACCGCCACACCCGGTAATGGCCTCCTAGCTCCACCTCTATCCCCCGATGTCCCCAACTCCCACCGCATCCGTCCTGCCCCCCCCGGCCTCCGCGGTCCCATCTCTCTCCCGCCCATCCGCCACCTCCCGCCCGGTCCTCTCCGCCATCGAGACTCTCTCCCCGCACCTCCGCCTCTCCACGCTCCTCCGCCACCTCCACACACTTTCCTCCGCCCTTGCCCTCGCCCAGTCGCGCACGGCCCCCTTCCCCGACATCCACCAATCCCTGCAGCGCCTCTCGCTCACCACCCTCCGCCTCACGGACCGCACGGCCTCCACCCTGGCCGCCTTCCGCCACGCGGCCGCCACCTCGCTGCACAACCTCGACCTCGTGTCCGACCTCCTGCACGACGACCTCGCCCGCGTCGCCCACTCGCTCCTCTCCGCCGAGGCCGCCTCCGCCGACCGCCTGGCCGTCCAGTCGCGCGCCCTCGCCCTCGAGTTCGACGCCGCCGCAGACGCCCTCTCGGCCGCCCTGCTCG